GTGCGCTTAGCACTCTCTTAGTGTCCTCCAAAACAGCTTCATCCAGAAGCGATGACGAGTTTATCTCCTCACCCGGACGTACAATGACCACTTCGGCCAAATCGCCTGCCTTCAAGGCACTGCCGAACTCTTCAAGGGGCATCTCGTCCAGCTCAAGAGGAGCATCTTCTGCAGGCATAGCCTCGAGGCGGACGTCGCCATCTTTCTCTTCCGTCATACCGTTGACGAGAATGTATAACTGTGCGCCATCGTCTACGGTAGACGCACCCTGAATCAGGGTCGACGCCTGGCGTCTTGCCGCCAGCATACAGCGTCGCCGTCGCCTCTGTACAAAGGTTCTATGTCTCGGTGAAAGCAGGGTGAACACGCACTCCGCGTAATCCGGTGTCACCCTCACTTCCCCTCCTTTGGAGACCGATGTTATCTACAAAATCAAGAACTGCTAACCCCGCAGTCGTCGTCCAGTGGATATCATGCCACTCCACGCGCATCTGAAGGGCCGTGTCTAAGATACCTCGGACTCTGTCCGACCATGTCGTGCATGACATGCAGCGACTGCTTTGATACTTGATCAGCGCTCAGTGGTCTACGTATCACTCCACGTGCATCTCGGGGGCCTCACCCTCAGGGCCTCACCCTCGATGCCTCGTCCCTAGGCCGACCATGTCACGCATGACATACAGCGACTGCTTTGAAAATTGAGTAGCACTCAGTGGGTAATGTGCCACTCCTCGATCAGCCCGCGAGCTACGCTCGGGACTCTTGTCCAATACACCGTTGGTGTGTAAGAACTCGGACATTTCAGTGCCAGGCACGTTGACCGTCTCGGCCCAGTGCTCTCGCCAATCGCGCTTTTGTCTCCTAGCAGAGGTGGGTTCATGACTCACCAATGCTTCACCAGGAGACGTGCGCTTAGCGCCCAAGGTCTTTGACTTCCAATCAATCCATGGCTCATGGTGTTCCAACCATGCCATTCCTAGGATGAGGTCACACCTTGCATCCAAGTCTAAGAACAGACAACGTTCCACGCTATCAAAGCCAAAGAACTTGACTCCGAGGTCCACAGGGACCTTCGGGACCGTGAAACGCGTCGTCGTCGCTAGGCGAACAGTGACGATGTCACCCAACCGCGCTTTCAGCGTCACAGCATACAGCTGACTTCCTTCCATCGTGGAGCATCGAGCATAATTGCCCGACGCCCCGGAAT